TTACGAGATTGGCTCAAAAACTTGAAACAAAAAATTCAAAATTGGTTTAACCCAGCTAAATTCTGCATACAGTCTTGTACATGGTACTACTGTTTCATAGCGTAGTCCAAAGTTAATTCAAGATTTGAAAATTTCCAGGAAAATCAGATTTTTTTGTTGCGCTCCTTTTGTGCTGTTTAAACAGGGAGGGGGTGTTTTTTGTTGTTAAAGATGACAAAGAGGCAAAACTGTTTATACAAAACTGATATTTTCAGCACCTAAAACAGGGAAAAAAGCAAAGCAAGGCAAGCCAGGATCCCTTGTTAGCACAACATACAAAAGCTATATATTCGGTCTCATTTGTTCATGATGTGTTTCCATAATGAATGTGTGGCTTCTGCCAGCCCACAGTTCTGTTGTCTGCTGCTTCATCATGTTAGCTACTTCCTATTAACTGTCGTTCTTGGAAAATGTCAAAAATCTTGAATAATGAATGGTGTTTAAGAAAAAAGTCTATCGGGTGTACAGAGATACAGAGGAGAGATACTGTAGCTAAGCCCAGTTTTGCATGATTTTAGTTTTTGCTAATAACGTAAAATGTGACTTACAATCAGAGAAGTTTTTTTTTTTTTTACTCTGTGTCAGCCATATGTAATTTCCAGGTTCTTCAGTTAAAGGAAGGTGTCGGGTAAAACCGTAAAAAAAAATTTTTTTAGGAAGGGAAAGACTTGAAGAAAGATTATATAACTGCTTCATTCTCTTTAAAAATTGTCAACAAATGGTGTCACCATGGCTAAGTGAAATCCAGGACATTTTGAAATAAAATGAATTTGAGATTGCATGATTCAGAAGTGGACCCAGAATATCTGTATAAAACAAATAAATTATTACACTTGTGAAATTGGGGAAAAAGAGTGGATCAACTACTTGAGGCAATTGGCTTATATTAATTCTCTAGTATATATTTTATTTTCATTAGCTACCCTGAATTTCAGTGTACAGTTGCACAGGCATATGGTCCACACTATTTAACACAGGTGATTAACTGATTTACCAGTAGACTGACTCTCATACTTGAAGTGATTCTTGTAACCTTTCCTGAACATAAGATAATAATGTGACTTTAATTGTACAGACTGCCATTGTATGCCATACCATATCGCTTTACAATACTTAAAATATGGGTGCTTTCCCAGAGATTTAGATCGATCTAAAGATTAAGTTTTAGATCGACCTAACTCCCAGGGGGTTCACGCTTAATTGCAGTCAGCCGAGCAGGCACCATAGTTAATTACCCCCTTACAGCTTTTAGTAGGCCGGACAGACGCTTAAGCTGTCCAAGCTGACAGTAATCTAGTGAGACTCCCCACAGGGATAGATGATCTAAAAATCTATGGAAATGGGGTGTATGACATGTTGTAAGATGATGGTTTAAATTGAATGCTATTATACAGTCTTTTTCTAACAGTAAATTTTTTTCTCTTTTCTTATCTTCAATCTGATTGCGGCCAAGTATGGTCAATTTATGATGAAAAAACTTCCTTCTCTTTTAGAAATGGAGTGCCCTGTGCACAGCAGCCTGTGCCTCCCTCCAAAATGTATGGTATCATTAGCTAACAAAATGAGAATAGTTCTCCATGTGTTTTGCCTGATACAGGGATACAGAGAATATCAGATTAGTTACTTTTACTAGATGCTGGACTATTGGGTTACAAGCTGTTTAGAAAAAAATTTTATGTGAACGTTTTTACTAAGAGAATTTGTCTTTTAGTGTTAACAGACAAGAAAATAAAAGGTGTTACTATCTGTTACTTGTTGGCTTTTAGTTCGACAGCCTTTGAGATCTCTTTGGTGTACCAGTACAAAAAAAAAAAAAAAGAAAGAAAAAAAATTTCCATCAAATTAAAGGTGTGAGATTGGATGCATGTCTCATTTATAAGGAACCAAAATGAATGGACGTACATTTCCACCTTTTGTTTTCCCTTGCTGCAGTCATTTGTTATTAATTTGATAAGACTGATGCGTTTTGTAAATAAAGATACCTAACCATGATCCCTGGAATATCTGTTCCTAAAGGCATTTACCAAGGAATTGAAGCAATCTTCTGGGGATAAAATAAATTGAAATGTGAACTGAGATAGCATCTGGTTGAACTTAGGTAATGGTATAAAGATGCTTTGGCAAGTTGAGTTAAGACTATGTTTTTGGATTTGGCAAGCAACTGCGTGTGGCAAACCTTGTGGTAAGGGTTTTGAATCATAGTGAGACAATCATACCACCTTCATTGTTCTGTCAGCTACTAAATTATGATGTCAGTTGTGCCTAAGAGTGAAGGGAGTTACAAATAGTTACCAAATGGCCTGCTTTGTAAAGTTAAGTATGAGGTCAAATCTCTAGAAAATTTATGTTTTGTCTTTTTAAAAATATTTTTAGAATTATTAATTTTTTCTTACCAGAAATTGGAAAAAAAAGTGTGTGTGTTTTGGGGGGAGGGCTTAAACAGGCACACTAATGTTGGGTCAGTTTCATCAGTGATCTTGTCTGCTGAGTGGTGTGGTCAATTTGTGGTGAAGATACTTTAAAAAATTCCATTCCATTTCTGTATATACTGTTTAGTAATTGTAACATTAGAAATTGAAAAGAGAATTAATGACCTCAATATTAATTTGCAAGTGATTGAATTGTCGTAAGCTCTGTGGGAAATCTGTAGATTGCAAATTTCCTGTTCCTATACCCCCTTAGAGACATCCTGTATTGATGTAGACATCTAATTCACTGTCTTTTTTTCTGAAGTATTTGGCAAAAAAAAAAAAAATGAACAATTATTATCTTAGGTAAGTAACTTGCACTCATATCTTGAAGGATGTGACATATTTCTTAAAGGAGGAGAGTCATTAGTTTTCTTTGAACTTACGTAAGATAAGACGTACATGGTATAAGAATGGTTGGCCTGGGAGTCTGGGACCATTTTCCTTTTTGAAATCATAAATCCATAAGGATAGATAACATGTTCTTATCGTCATATTGACATACACTTGATGGAGCATTGATTCTCCAACTCTTCTCTAGGGAAACCAGCAAAGACCTGAAGACTAATGATATAAGTTTGTTCTCAGTTGGCTGGCAAAAGGAACCCTACTTAGTAATTGATAGTAGAGCTTGTGCTTCACTTGGTGCACTATTAAAAGTAAGACCTGTTTTACTTACTTGTTTATTTAGCTGTAGGTGAAACGATGGTAAAAAGTAACTGGGAAAGTTATAATAATTAGTTTTAAAATGTATGATTTAAAGCTATAATGTATACAGCCAATTTCTAATTAACTGTTTTATAGAATTTTAACTGTTTAACCTGTCTTTTCCAAGAATTACACATCTTTGACAACATATCCTGGATTTTGTGAAAAATTTATTAAGAGGTTTTAACAGAAATGTGACGTAAGATTGACATTTCCTGTAGGCCACTGTGTACAAATGCTTTTAAGATTTCTAAGACTTGCTTGAAACTGAGCAGTTTTTCTTAGATGACACATGAAGTTGGCATGTGCTTGAATAAATGTGATATTACTTTGAAACCAGGGCATAGAATTGTATTTTTGTCTCATGTCTTTATGTGTATTTCAGAAAAATGATGTGAGGATAATGCAGTTTTCTCGCTAGTTAAATCTGATAAAGCATCACAAAAGTCAATTTTTTTATACATGCAATTTCCCTTTTGCAATTGACAGCCTTCAGTGACAGTAATTCGATTTTTTTTGTCTCAGTTTTCTGTAAAAGGTCATTATATTTGTCCTATTACTTTTGATTGTGTCAAACATAAACTGTGTGTGTGTGTGTATATACACTAGCTATAGATGGATAGAGAAAAAGATACTAGAGTCATGATCTGATAAAATCTCATAAATTATCCTTCAATACTTTTCACTTTTACTATGTTTACGCACAATTTGAGTTTTTTTTTTAAATCCATGATTAATCTGAAAGATTGTAAAATATTTTTTACAATTTAGTGTGGTTAAAACAGGTGATAACAGAGTTAGCAAGAATGGTGGAAGAGTTTTTAGGGCTCTGTGACTTAGCAAGTACTAGTGCATGCTGAACTAGGAAGTCATGGTGAAATGCAATTTCATGTTTGCTGACCGGAAATCACTCAATTTCTCAATTTTTCTGTTTGACATAAAAAACAATCGAATGGGAATATAATTTAAACATTCTTGCTGTGCAAGAAAGCTAATTACCTGAACATTGACTATTAACAGATATTTTACCACTTTTAAAAAACTTCCCTTTAAGTGAAAAAAAAAGAGACATTTAACCGTAAGTTATCAAAATTTATGTCTATAGAAGTTATGTTGCAGTTCAAAATTAGTTGTCTGAAAATCAGAAAATTAGGTTTTAATTGCTCATAAATCTCAACAAATCGACAGTTTATATGACTATTGTTAAAGTCTGCAGTATCACTCCAAGTACAGTAATGTGGTGATTAGCCAGCTGTGTAATGAAATTGGCCCATTCTGTGTGTTGTTCTTTTGGGAGATGAAAATATATTGGTATTGATCTAATTGGTTTCAGGAGGACACATCGCCTGGGTTTACAGCTCTGTGTAAAAGATAGCGGGGTTAAGCTTCATTCAAGTACAAGACCTTCACGGGGGGGATTCAGGACTTTGCTTTGAGGAGGGGCTAGGGCAAACCGATTAAAAAATATATTTATTTCCTCGCCTGCATTGGCAAATGATGAGGAGGCCATTGTAACTGTAATATGTAGGGCTCAGATGATCAAATTTCTTGGTTCTGCCCCATTTTACTTGTCATGTTGTTTTGTGGGAATGGTAAAGGAAATACTACTTGTAACTCTGATTATGTTGGTGGGGGGTGGGGGGGGGGGGGGTAGAAATTTCATTAATCTAACAATTTTCATTTTAGCTCCTGCACAGATTATCTCTGAATGAGAGTGTGAGTGAAATCAATCAAGATGGTTCATCATGTTGACTGGAATGTTTTCATTCTTGATATTTTTACCAGATATGGAGGGCTCTTGTATGGAGCTGGCCCTGGAAGGGGAACGGCTGTGCAAGGCGGGAGACTGCCGCGCTGGAGTCCAATACTTCGAGGCCGCAGTCCAAATAGGCACTGACGATTTGAAGACTCTGACAGCTATATACAGTCAACTTGGAAATGCGTACTTTTATCTTGGAGAGTATGGAAAGGCATTGGAGTATCACAGACATGATTTGAATTTAGCAAGGTGGGTATTATTACTAGACTGTGCATTATGTTTGAGCTCTATGCACAAAATAGCCGTTTGTGTTCTTAAGCCTTGGGTCTGTGATTGTGAATGCTGACTTAACAACTCAAACATTTCATGGCGTGAATTTAAAAAATTGTAGTCACCAGCTGAGCACCGCAAGCAAATCACAAAACAGTCATCTGCCTTCTTATCCATTCTGTTTGTTACTAGTATTCATGTGCAGGATGCTGTGTAGAGCACATAACTCCCATATTGAAAATAGTTCGGCTGCGAGCTCAAGAACCTATAAACCTGAAAACAATCTAAATTGTTTCTGTGAGAATACCTTATAAACAGTGCCTATGCCAACAGTCCCCAAACTATCCATACTCTCAAGAATAATAATCGAATGGTGATCAGGGAATTTTGCATGACATGCTGAGCACTCAGTGATGCAGTGCCATGGAGTTTGGTTTGAACACATAAAAAACTATTGAGCTGTGCTCACAAATGATGGTATACAAGGAAAAAATACACCACACAAAGCTTACATGCTCTGAGACAAGTTTATGAAAAAAAAAAATTGTCAAGTTTTCCCTTCAGCAGAAAATGGTACTTTATCAAAACTGGAAACTTCTTTTTGGACCCCCCTGTATAATGGGCAGGATTGGCGTATTTGGTGGTTTCTGCCTTATCAATACCTGGTGATCATCCTTGCTTCTCTCAGTAACCTCCGAAATAATCAAAATGCAAAATAACTGCAAATGGGTAGAATGTTATTATTTATTTTTAGGCCACAGAAGGTGGTTTCCCACCTGATAGATTAAAGAATTGAATTTTACAAACATGGGCAATATGTATGGTCTTAGTCACCATTGCTAAAAACTTTGAAAATTGCCCAAGCTGTTCAAGTCAGACTGGATAGATAACCTTTATTAAATATTTTCACTTCATTTAATGATTTGTAACAAAATGAGAACGTTCATGGAAAACATACACCTGGCTGATGGACTTGGATATAGGAATGACGTCCATGATTCAACATATACACTCTTTATATTTCATACATGATTTAACCCAGCGGCCCTCTCGTTAATGATCCTGGAATCTCTTTTTTTTTCTGGTTCTTTTGATTGATTCCTTTTTATTTCCTAGTGGAACTCCGTATAATATTGATTGGTCAATATCTCAGCAACCAGCAATTACGTCGTGATTTAGCAAAGGAATGCTCCAAGTCTTTTATTTTAGAGGTTTTATGTATGTCAGCCAGTACAGAATACTTTTAATGTGTCCACATGGTATCTGTGAACTGGGTTGATTGACTTTTTTCTTTTTTTTTTTTTTTTGTCATACGCTGAAGAGCACTGAGGAAATTTTATTTCACAGAAGAAAGAGTGGTTAATTGCAATTTTTTCATTTAATTGGTACTTGAAGGAAGAGAAGAAATGAAAGAAATGACCATTTACTCTAAAAATAGTGCACGTTCATGAGCACTCTTTGTTATATGATAATATTTTCTGTTCGTCCTGATTTTAATTTCCTCTTTTAGAGTGATTTTGAATAGTAGATCTAATCAGTGTACACACTTAGGTTGTCCATTCCTCAAACTATTTTTCTTTGACTAGAGAAATTAAAAAAAAAAATTGAATAGTTGTAAAAAAAGCAAGAAATATGGTGGAATGACACTAGCGTTTAAAAGGTTCAGTTTTTTTTTTTTTTTTTTTTTATGCTAACATTTATTTACTGCAGAGTTAAATAGTTTTCTTGAACATTGTCTATGGCTTTTTTGAAAAGGAAAATCAAGTTTTCCACTGCTGTCCACTGGCAGTTTGATGTAGTTCAATTCTCAATCCTAAGTTTTCCTTGCTCCTTAAGATTTTCTTTGTAGATAAATGGAAAACAATACTGTAAATAAATACTAATGGTATTGTGTCACGTTTTATCAAAAATATTTTTGTTTAAAGAACAGTGTCCTAGCTTATTATTCTACTTGTTAACATTTCTAGAACAATAGGAGACAAACTTGGGGAAGCAAAAGCCAGCGGTAACCTGGGGAATACGCTAAAAGTTCTGGGTAAATTTGAAGAGGCAATCGCCTGCTGTGAAAGACACCTTGAAATTTCGAGGGAACTGGGAGAGAAGGTAAGTACTACTGATCTTCCATAAAAACCTTGTTAAGCTTGGGTTTGAATTCGATGAAATGCTTCTTTGTTTTTATTCAGATCAGCCATAATCTAGGAGCCCAGTGTCAGCATCATTTGGGATTTGTAGTTGCTTTTGGGGCCATTTCAAAGTGTCTTATTTGATAATGTTGTCTTATTTGATTAAATAAAAAATGGGTATAAAGTTCCAACTGAAATGTATTTTATTCATTAATTGATTTTCTTTCTTTTGAAACTGAAATGCACTTTATCCACCCAACCTCCATATGCACGTGTTTAAAGAATTAAATATTTCTTAGTACATTAAACCTTTGAAAGTGCCCCTTAAAATATAATCACATTGCCGAGTATGTTATGCAACTGTTATATAGTTAACATTGATTTATATGCTGAGTTATTATTTTGAAGCATTTTTTTTGAAGGCTGGACTACTTTCTGGTGTACGGTAATGTGCCATGAATTTCGAACAGTAGAAAATAATTAAATTTGGGAAAAGATCGTTCTGGCCGAAATTCATGAAATGGAGGTGCTCAGAACTTCTGAAAGTTCGAATTTCATGGAATTCTGTCAATTTTGACCGGAAGTTGTCTGTTCGTCGCTAGGCCTTCTGTTATCTTCTCCCGACGATCTATTTAGAGTTACCATAATGTATGATGTGTGAGTGTCGGTAATTGCGACCAAAGGTATACACGTACTTTCACCCGATCACTGTGTATGGCCCATAGATAGAGCAGTACTGTTGTCTAGGGCCGCAAAACAGCATCGTTATCAGTAGTGTCGTTTTTCAAAAGCGATTCTGGCAGCCAGAAACTAGTGTCGTTTTTCAAAAACAATCCTGGCGCTCAGAACGGGAGTGGACGGAGGGAGAGACGGCCGACGATTAGCGTCTGCCACGGCCAGATAACCTTTACTATGGAAGCTGAGTGGTACCGGTGCTCCTTTCCGTGCACTGAAACCGAGACGACAGCCGATCAGTGTCTATGGCGCACGTGCAGGTAGCCTTCATCTGCGATTTATAAGTGTCTTCCGCGACCAGGTTCGTTGCCTTTACCGTTAAAGTCGGGCGGAGCTTTACGCGTGAATGCGTCCTCATCTCGCCGTTCGCGGGTCAGTGTCTTCGACGCATACGTAGCCTTCCCTGCAGAAGCCGGCCTCGGCACTACGGCCTCTCCTCCATGCGGGGAGGCCACTACAACCGCAGATCGGTATGTGCGGCGCACAGGTAGCCTTCGCCACGGCAGCCGAACTGTGTATTACGGTCTCTCTCCGTCGTGCGCTGCGACCAAGATGACCGCTGATTGTTGTCTTCGATCAAATATACTAGGTTTGGGGG